GGGCAGTGCGCTGGATGGGCTCCCCAGGGCAGGGACCCCCGGCCGACTGCATGCAGAGGCGGGCAGGCCCCATCCAGCGCCCCCGCCTGCAGCCCCGAGACAGGGCTGCTGGTGCCAGGCTGCGTTTGGGGGGCCAGGGCACGGGGCCTGTGCTCCCCGTCCCAGGCCTGGGGCAAACCCTGGGGGCAGCCACCCCACACACACCCCAAGGCCCCACCTCCCGGCGCCGGGAAGGCCGATGGCCAGGCCCCGCAGCAGGCTCTGCAGCGGGCGTCTCTCAGCACCGCACTCGCCCCCCTGGACGCCCCTCCCCTGCGAGGGCCCACCTGCTGCCCCGGGCCCACCTGCCTGGGCGAGGGGAGCGGTGAGTGGGTCCTCCGGTGCCGTGGCCGCCGGCCTCCACGGGGCTGCAGGCGGCCCCCCCGGGCCGTCAGATCTGGCTCTGGCAGACAAGCTAGCTGCAGTCCTGGGAGGCTGAGTGGCTGGTGTGGGCCTGGCTGGCCCCAGCACGGTCGGGGGCTCCCCGTGCGTGTCCCCCAAGCAGCCAGCCCCATTTCCACACCGGCGCCCCGGAGTGGCCCCAGGACGGGCGTCCTGCAGGGAGACGAGGCGGGCGGAGGGCAGGCCTGGCCTTCACCTGACAGGCCTCCCGCCGCTGAGGAGGGGTGCGGTGCTGGCAGCCCACGGGGAGGCGGCGTCCAGTGAGGACAGGCTCTGGGTCAGGGTCGTCCGGCCTGCGGTCTCTGGCGGGCTGGGTCTGGGGCAGGACCTTGCTTGCCTCCAGGGCACTGGTAGCGTGGACACCCCTCAGAGGCTGGAAGGGAGCATCCCCCAGGCTGGCACATACCAGGGGACGGTGGGGGGCGGCAGCAGCCCCCCAGGGCCTCAACCAACGCCCCTAAGCGCTGAGATCCTGGGAGACTGGCTCATCCCCTGGTGCTCGCAGGTGGCAGGGCTGGGCCTGCAGTGGACAGGCCTGAAGCAGCCCTGCCCCAGGGCGGTGCCCGTGGCCAGACAGGGCCCCCCAGGCCCTGGACCCAGGCCTGCCCCCAAGGTGGGGCCTCTCAGCCCCAGGGACCCAGGCTCTGGGGACGTGGGCCCCACAGGGCTGAGCCCACAGACCTGGAGCGCTGGCCCCGAGGCCAGGAGCAGCTCTGGGGCGGGCCGGGAGTGGGTGCTGGGGGCGGGGTCGGCTGGGTCCCGCCCCCCCACCCCTCTGCTGCTGGGAAGGGCCCCAATTACGAGGGGAATGCGGCGGCAGGGCAGGGTCAAGCAGAGCGGCGGGTTTAATTAAAGGTGGGGG